TTACAAGTGCGGACACTTTTTAGCGCGGACCCGACGTCCATATAATTCTAAGTCAATGGCTGGAAAGATAAAAAAATATTCCCCCTCACTATTTTGATTAGGCTGTACAGCTTGAAAAAGAAATGGACATACATACACTTGAAAAACATAACCCTCTCGCAATTGGGTAAAAGAAATGGTCGAATTGAGAACCTCCTCCTTTTTTTAAGTCGGTTAAAAACATAAGTAAGGTTGCTTACCAAACCGCACATAAGTGAACAAAACTATCACAGCTTTAAACAACATCACCACCCTTAAATTTTAACTGCTCTACTCCACAGTTCTTTATTAAAATAGGTTATTTTTAAGATAATATCTAGTGTTAGATAAATTCAAGTAAATAAGTAATTATTTTGGTCAACAAATGTACAGTTAAAACGCGTAGTTTAGTGTCAGACTGTCAATGCTAAATAGGGCTAGCAGTTAAGTGATATGTTCACAATATGTCGGGTTATTCTGACCTATTGAACACATTGAATTAACTGCATTATACACGATACTGCCGTTCCTACTTGCCTAATTACTATTTATAATTAATGCGGCATGATCCAGACTGGGAAAAATACGTGCTTGTAAGTTGTATGTGTTTAAAATCAAAACACATTAAATTTTTGTCACGATACAACGATTCTCCAAAGCAACAGTAGCCACGTGTCCTGGTCTATTAAAAAAAGAAGGAATCATCCGCTTAGAGGCACATTGCACGCGCGCCATTTTGGTTGGTTTCAGCTTATCTCGAAAGACCCATACGCTCGATTGCTGCTTTGTTTTGGGATCGTAACTATAAATCCATGTTTCGTCACCTGTTACTATGTCCCACACCAAATTTGACGCCCCTTCGTTGAATCTGGAAAGCATGCAATTGTATCAAGAGACGCGATTCGTTTTTTGGGCTTCAGTCAAATTGTGTGGTATCCACCGAGAGCACAGCTTTTTCACACCCAAATGTTTGTATAGTATTGATTGTATTTGACTCATGCCTATGCCCAAAGATGCCCGAATCTCGTGGTATGTCACATACCTGTCTGTTTTGATCATACGGCGCACAGCATCGATGTTTTTGTTGTTCACAGCAGTAGACGGGGGACCATCACGAAATTCGTCACTGAGATTCACACGACCGTGTTTGAATTCTGCAAACCAGCTACAAATAGTCGTCTTGCATGATGCTTCATCACCAAAAGCAGTTTAAAGCCGAGCGAAGCTCCGCTGAGCTGTTAACTTACACTTAAAGTCGTAGAAAATCAAATTACGAAAATTTTCACGAGTTAAATCCATGGTGATGTAGACAACCAATTTCTAAAATGACGCCATAATGTAAAAACAAGCGACAGTCAGATGAAACAAACTGTATACTACAGCCAAAGAGTTCCATTTTCAAATGTTGTAATTAATTTTTAAATATTGTTTATGTAAGTGGCCAGTTCCGGAAACTTAAAGTGCACCATATGTAAATGAAACTTATTTTGCATTATAATGGACAGGATTTACAAAGTTGATGATGGGCATAATTTTTTTGTTTATTATTTATATCAAAAAGACCCATAAATACATACTTTATAGACTAACCATAGATAACAGTATGATGAAACACTAATTAATAATTATTTACTTCTACGTAATGTCAGCGACGTGTGACGCAACGCGGGTGTCCGGTAGCCGATCTCGGAAATGTTGGTACATGACACCCGTCGGCGAAAACTCATCCTTCAAGAAGGTGGATAGATGTTGAGTTGATACTCAACTGCTTGACCCTCAGGGTAGTATTCGCTTTCACCCGTATATACTCCACAATATCCGAAGACTTTGTGGAATAATGAAGTGGTGACACGTATAATAATGTTGTCGGTATAGCTGGACGCAGTAAATAATTAGGGCCAGTCGGGGCGGTGCCAGTAAGGTTACTGCTGGTGTACTTCTTTTGCCGTTCCACTTGTTTGAAACCGTCCTCGTCGCACTGGCCAACTCTTCTCGGTGGTACTGACGACACAGCTCCAGAGATGATTACCCGTTTCTTTTTTTCACCTTTGTTGATAACTGCTTGGGTTGTGATTTTGGAGCACTGAGTTGGCTAGCAGCGGCGACAACAGCGTAATTACGTTGAGGAGGTATGTGTATGTCTGTGTGAGTATGTGTGTGGTGCGTACGTGTGTTAGTGTTTAGATGTGTGAATATGAGTTTCTGACGATTATTTCATTTGTCAATTGTTTTACATATTTATACTTGCGCAAATAAAATTCAAAGGTTACTTTGTTCTTACCATATTAGTATGTTATGCAAAAAATATTAACATTTGATTCTGTATACAAAGCAAGACAATGAAATACCACCTCATGTGCTTCTAAAATTTAAACAGCTGCAAAATTGCAACCATTTCCATTCAAATAAATATTTACACACATTGCCATTTATTACCCGAGCAAATTTGCATATACACGTGTAAGTATATTACGTATGTATTTTTTGTACTTGTTATTATATACATGAGTTATATAATTACGTACGCTAAATGAGCTAAATGTTGTTTTGCAATATTTATTTATACGTTTATTTGTGAAAGTACTCTAGTTTATTATTCATTAGTACAAACGTCGAACAAACTCATGGAAGATTCCTTGGATCCGGCTGTACTACTAGAGACTGTTTCGGTTTTGAAGGTTGTTGATGCGAATGACTTGTTCATCTCGTCACGTACTATTATAAAAAGAAAAGCAATAAAGAAAATAACCACAGCCTTTATAAATTTCCTCGATTATTCTAAATTAATAACAATGCTTACAGATTTAAAGTTTTTATTGAATGAAAATTGTCAAGACGTTTTACAATCATGATATTCAATTATTTTTTGTGAAATTGCTCCACTAGTTTGTTATAATTATTAATAACAAAGATTCCCAGATTCGAACAGTCTTCTAGCAAACCGTAACAGACGCTATGCCAACTAAGCCACGGAACGAACCAGCCGACCTAGGCGTATCTATGCTAAACGGACCAAGCACGTGCAGAGCCGCTCTGCTCGTCGTCGTTCGCGGATCAAGTGTGATGTACAATGAGCCTCCATCGACCACTGTCCTCGAACATAGCACACCGCAGTGTGCTCGCGACTCGTGGCAAACATGGACGATTTAGCTAATGCATCTGCTGCTACAGCGATTATTATAGTCGAAATCAGTAAAAAAGCTAAAAGACTAAAGCGATTCGATTATTTTGATACAAATCATTAATTGCAAACAAACTTCTGACCACGTGTCCATGATGATCAGCTCGAGCGAAGCGTCTATCACTAAACACGTCCACGAGTGCACTGTAACAAAGCGCGACTTTGAGTGTTACTAATAATTATCATTCGAATGGGCAAATCATTCGCCTAAGTCGAATCCAAGCACAATTATTCTACTCGAGTCGAATGATTATTATATCGGAACACATCATTCGTCATGTCCATACCACAAAATATCCCTGTCCCCGCCACATTTACAGTGTTTATCATATATGAGAGACGGCTAGATGATCACGAGCAGAAATGCTCTATGGAATCTATGGATTAGTACTATTCATTAGTAATGAATTCTAAATTCAAAAAGAATTCTAATCATTCGAATACGAAAATTAGTAGGTTATTAATTTGACATTCGGATGACAGGATTAGCGATTACCAACGAATGACTGCAGTTGTCCATGATTCCAATTGTCGGTATAATTGGCGGAGTGCAGCGCATACGCATCTTTACGAATTTTTTTATGTGCTTGTTGCAGATCTCTAATTTTGTTTTTGGTTTAGTACTTACAGTTCTTGTAGTATAGTGTTGTTGTACTCGAGTACAACAAAAGATTAAGAAATTAAATAGCAAAGGAAGGTTCCCGGTGTATGAGAGCACGTGTGCGTGTTTAATGAAAATATAACTATAAAAAATTCAAACCTATTTATTAGTAGAGAGAATCGTCCTATGTAGATACGTACCTAAGTCTATGTGTCTGTGTTTGTGTGTTATCATTTGTTGGATTGACCTCATAAGACCGACCTTCATTGATAACACAATAATTATATGTATTAGTTTTAATCCACATTATTTGCAAGAATTATATAAAAATAAAGAAACAGAAATAAATCTTATATAATTAATACAAAGATCGAACAAAGTCAAAAAATTCCTTTTTCACTTCAAAGTTGGTATTTATGCTTGGATACAGGCCGCATAAAACACGATTTTATGCTCTAGTGCATAAAATAAAAAACCATCACATTAAATATGTCTAATTGTTGTAATTTTACATTCAATTTTAATTATATAATCGTTTATTTAATTATATATTGCTGTTTAATTTCCTCGCAATCGAAGTGAAAAGTAGAGTGTATAACTCGTTTATAAAACCCATTTTACCCTTGACTTCAGTATCCACCCGAGCCGCAGGCGAGTGTGGATATACTCGTCTCAGGTACAATGACGCGTTTTATGCACTTGTACAATCTACTATTTCACCTCACTATCTCGTTTTTTCCACTCTAGCGTGGAAAAATAACAAAAAATACATAATGACACGTTCAGTAGCACGATTTGTCGTACATTATTTATGTAATATAAATCCGTTGGTACATTTTATTCTTATCATTGTTGACATTAAATTGACAATAATAACTAACTTTGCATCAAATTATTTTGTTACAGTTCAACTGTTTTTCTTTCATCTACCATTTTCCACGTTATATATTGTTTTGCGTCTCGTGTCTTGAAACCCTCGCTTCGCTCAGGCTCTACAATCTTTTAGACATTCTTCGCTTGCTCAGCTCAGGTTTCAATACAAGCACTCGCGTCAAACAACAAATAACTATTGTTATTTGTTGTTTATTTGTTATTTGTTGTATCTTGTAACGTGAGGAAGCGAAGGAAGCTTTGATTGAACCACGAGCGAAGGGAGTTAACTTTGCTGCCGAGCGAAACACACAACTTTTCACCTCACTATTGCGATGAAAATGGTAGACGAAATAAAACAATTAAAATAAAAAACATCAGTTTCTTTATTAAATAAAATGGTTATCTTTTAGAATTTACACCTCATATATTTTTATTCTTGCTTGTACTTTTATTTTGTGTGATTATGTGATTGTTGCAATTATTTTAGTTCTTCGACTAATTAAAATAATTTAATAAACACAATTAGTTTACATTGTCAATTTAATGTCAACAATAATAAAAATAAAATATATCAACGGATTTATATTACATAAATAAGTAATGTAGGACAAATCGCGTAGTTGAACGTGTCATTATCTTTTTTATTCATCGAGAGATATAGTTAGATGCACCACGATCCATCGTCCAGTTCGAATTTCAAAAACCTTTTCCACGCTTGTGTGCAAAAAACGGTTTTGCGCGCAGATTTCTAATGAGAAAGAAAGCCTCGCCGAGCTGGTGAGGTGAAAATAACTATTGATCATCCTTCAAAAGAAAACTCATGGACGCTTTCTCCCCATCGTTACTTACGTTGCTCATACTTGATCTTTGACAAATCGTCAGAAGTTGGCGCATGAGGTATGTCAATGAGGCATGGAATAAAACTGTCAGATTGCGTGCGGAACAAAAACAATACTGCGCTGCAAAAATCACAAACCCTTGACGTTGGTTGGTCAAAATGCCTCCAGCCTGAAATGGAATTGGATCGAACATCGCATGTCTAGCGAGCTGTGAGTAAAGACCACCACCACGTACCGCAATGGGTGCAATCAATATCCTGGTACCCTTTAGTCCCGCAGTCAAAATGGGTTACTTAGGTACAGTAATATTTTTCCCAGTGATCGGAAATTCGGATGGCAATGGTGCAGCTATAAATGATGTTAGATGAATGATGAGGAAGCAATAACACGTCGCCAACTATGCAGGCTCTTTGGAGGCGTTGCGAGCGACCCTGCGACCATGTGCGCCGCACACCCTGCACACTGCATAGGTAAAGCGGGCACTGATCCCACCCAACGCAAATTGGAAACGTGGAAGGCTAAGGAGGAAATGCCGTGACAAGCTAAAGATGTTAAGATCTTGGTATGTAGAGGGTTAATAACGATGAATGGATGAAATGGAGGTCTTTGCGCTGCAGTGGGCTGAAACGGCTGTAAAATTAAAATGAAATGTAATGTTGTGATTTTAATAACTTATTTTCATCAAAATCGTAGGAATATGATAATATTTTATCTCGCCAGAACAATATTAACTGAAACGTCACCAAGGGCACTAAAATCCGGCTGGTCCGAACACTAGGTTTGCCCGTACTTCTATATGATTCTGAGACATGTATTTGTATACGCTCTGTGAAATTGAGAGGAAGAAGACAGACGCTCTGGAAATGTGGTGCTGGAGAAGAATGCTTGGGGTGTCGTGGACAGAGTTTCGTTCAAACATCTCCATTCTCCAAGAACTCGGCATCAAACAGCGTCTGTCTGCTGTGGTGCAAACTCGCATCCTAAAGTTCTTCGAACATGTCTCAAGACGGAGCTTGGGCTCCATGCAGGGCAGAGTTAGAGGGCACTAAACCGCGCGAAGGTCACCTATGCGATGGACGGACCAAATACAGTCTGCAGTGGGCGGTCCATTGCATGAATGCAGAAGGGAGTCCACTAACAGAGAGATATGGCGAGATATCGTGAGGCGAGCCACACCAGCCCCTAACAAACAAACTCCGTGATGACCGCGACCGCTCTGTCATGAGTGCAACGAAAAAAAAAGACAACATTATATATATTATTATTACTGATTCCAAGAACAAGAAGAACAGAAAGAAAAATCCTTCGACCCTACTCGAACCAGCAATAGTGAGGCCACCGTGTCAACCGCCCTGCCTACTGAGCACGGAACGGGCCAGCAGATCTTATAAATTTCTCCATGCACACGTTGCGGACCTTTGCATTGTGATTGGTATATTATAATAATAATACACTAGTATTTTCACATATACCTAATTACAACTGTTTTATAAAAAGTTCGTGGAATATACATAAATAATTTTAAATATAACATCTATTTGGCAAGTTTTATTAAAATCGGTTAACGGAAAGGGCGCGAAACCGGATTCGTGCTATTTTGCCACTCTTGGAGGTGGAATATTTTCTTTCAATTTAAATGGGACCATGAGGCATTCCAAAAAAAAAGAATCATTATAATCTCAGTACAGAGTACTAAAAAAACCGACCTCAAAAGCACGTGAAATTACGTCTATTTGCTAAGTTTTATTGAAATATCCCCTAGTTCGCCACTATACAGGACTTGACACTGGAGATAATATAAAAATAGATTCTCACTATGACACTACACAAACTATATAGAGAGAAAACCGCCTTGAATTGGAGAAATAGCAAAATCAACCATTAAAGTAATTGCTCCTAAATGAAGTTAGGCGCTATTTATAAAAATGAATCTTCATGCGTGAACAGCCACCCTTCGAGGTGGATGATTTTCTTTAAAATGAAATGGGACCACTATGGAAGTACCCCCTTTCCAACAAAAAAAGAATCATGAAAATCGGTTCACAAATACCGGAGTTATCGCGTACATACATAGAAAAAAAAATTGAACATACAGTCGAATTGAGAACCTCCTCCTTTTTTGAAGTCGGTTAAAAATCGGTTCACAAATGCTGGAGTATACGTGAAACATACACAAAGAAATACAGTCGAATTGAGTACCTCCTCCCTTTTAAGTCGGTTTAAAAGACAGATGAATGTCATGGTAGTGGAAACATGACATTCAATAAAAAAAAATATTGCCACATAAAATATAGTTTATAATTCTTAATGAATAATACATTTTAAATAAAATTCTAATCAATGGACAGAGGTCGCAATTGCTTAACTTATAATATGAAATTATTTTATCGGAACTAAATTATATGTGCTTTTTTAAACAAACCAACGTTTGGGCTCTTTGCATGTACCATGGTCACGTCTGACTAAATATAAAAACAATTTCATTTCCAATGTTTAGCAATCGCGAAGACCTAAGAACCCACAGTCTTAATATTTAGAATACTGCATAAGAAAATAATGTAAAAAAGATCCATTTTAAAATTGCGACCGATTCCAATTTCAAAAATCGGTCCGCCATGTTCGGAGCACCAACATAATGGCGGCCATAACAATTAGGCGTATTATTTTCACATCTCCAATGACTGACGCAGCATTGCACATGTCGTCGAAGCACTGGCAGACAGTCTCCAAGTGGTCTTTATTGTCATTGGTATAGCAGGACCTTTTGCTCTTAACCCATCCACAACCGCGAATTACACGGATCTCTGGAGTATGATCTGGATAGAGAACTGGAAAAAAAGGAGCCATTAAGGAAAACATTTCCACGATTCGTTATTGCAAACTTTAGCCATCGTACTATAAGACAAGTGTGGTGACAACTTCATTCAAACGCAGCAGCGCGGCTTGTGCGTGTGCGTGGCGTGTACGCACGCACATATTCGCATAACTTTGCGGTGCACTCGCATTGCATGGCGTGGGTCGTCTCAAGCGGCAATGGAATTCAAGCGGTCGCTCGGTGAACAGAAATTATATCAAATAGTAGACGTGTTTATTGTACTGTTTGTGGTAGTTTGCACAAGAGTGTCTCAAAGTCAGAATTGTTCAGCATTTAATTTCTATTCCGTAATCATACTCCACAATCAAGGTACCAAGGTATAAAAATATCAATACGTAAGTTCATCTTAGCAGTAGAGCTTCTTGTGAAAGGGTTCGTCCAGGTACGTACTGCCACCTAACCTATTTCCACCGCCAAGCAGTAATGTGAGCATTACTGCGTTTCGGTTTACAAGAGTAAGGGTGCTGGTGAAATTACAGGCACAACGGATTTGTCAACTTATTACTCTGTGTGACGGGCGCAGTGGCAGTGCCCATAAGATCTTTGCGATTTAAAGCTCTGAGTGGCACTGCAACGGCAGGCGTGTCGCTTACCACCAGACGCACGACTTGTTCGTCCCGTCACCTGATATTATATATATATTTGTATATTATTATTTCAATTGTAGATAAATAAAGTTCTTTATTATTATTATTATTATTATTATTATTATTATTATTATTATTATTATTATTATTATAAAGAAAGTTAAGAAAAAACTACGGCGTTTAACAAAAGTTATTTCAATATATACGTCGCGCGAATAATGTGTACGGCGAAAGAACATCTACCTACCTTCGTCCCCGACTTATTAATAAGTTACCACTGGAACTACGAAATACCTTAACAACCACTAATGTAAAACATAAACTTAAAGATTACTTTGTTCAACACTTAAAAAAATGTGATGAACATTTATTATAATAAGATGAATGTATTTACCCAATCCTATTAATTTTAGTAACATACATATTATAGATTATTTATACAAATTACTTAAATATTTACACTTAAATATAAGCTTCTGCTAGCATGTTCAAATTTGTATTGTGAAGTTACAGGTCGCATTATGATAAACCTTAGTGGTTTAAAATGCGATTAGAAACATATTTGTGTATTTTGTCCTTTATACAATAAAAATATATATATATATAGCACGAGAATATTATGATGAGCACCATATTTCAAATCACCAACAACCCTACACTCCAAGTGAAGTGAAGGCATTTACTCGTCGAACAATTGTCAGTCGTTGCTCTACTTGCCCTTATTATACCATGTTCTAGTTAATAATTAAACTAACACCGCATAGTCAACAAGTTAATGCAAAGAGGTATAAATAATCACATACCTATATTGAAAACGAAAAAATAACAGAATAATCCAACATCGCCACGCACTGTTAACTTGAAGCGGCCATGGGAGCGGACAACCTTTGTTAACTTCAAATTTTGTAACGCACCGGGTTCACTTTATCGATCTCTCCATTGTACCCGCTACTATTCACTGTTCATACATACACATGTAATACAGGGTGTAATCGTTAAGTGTGCCCAGGCAATACTTCCGTAAATATAAGAGATTAAACTGATATCGAAAGTATGTTACCTAATGAGTAAAACTACATCAATAATTTTAAAAATAAAACTATAAATTTTGAAAATTTTAATTTTAAAAGCTCCCATACATTTAACGTGACATTCGTACAGAGTTGACCTACTTTAAGAGGTAACAATAAGTTTACACATAACGAAACTGCTACAAATAAAGTAATGAAAATTTAATTACAGAAAATGATGTATATTTTTAACTAAGCACAAAATATTGTGTTCAAAGCAGTTCGTTGTCCGAAACTAAAGCTTTTCATTTTCTTTTTTCTTTTTAATAACCCCGTACTAGGGAAACCCTGAATCGCGGATGCCATGGATATATACAAAGACAACGACAAATTACATACAAACTCACGAGATAAATAAATGTAGGCCATACAAATATTTCTTCCCGCCTGGGAATCGAACCCGTGGTCTCTGCATGGCAGTTCAGCATGTTAACCATTAGAAAATGGCAGAAAAGCTGAAAGCTTCTATAGAAAATGTCATATTAAATGTATATATCACAACCTGTATATGTTGTGTTATATAACGTCGCCTCACAGTGAAAACCTCGCAATACGCGTTTTCACATCGTTATTTATACTGATTTTTGTTGAAGAAAGACTTATTTATTTCTTGCTCAAATATATTTATTAAAATAATAATTATTATCTGGAAGAGGTATAATTTAACTAATTAAAATACTAACTACAAACATTACTGCGTTACATTTTACGTTACGTTTTTATCTTCGTCCTGAAAAATTACATAGAAATCACATACGAGGTATTTACATTCTATTCCCACAGAACGAAATAGCAGTAGAGCTCCTTGTGAAAGAGTTCGTCCAGGAGCGACAGGAGCACTACTGGCGCCTCTGAGAGGCGTTGCAACTGTTATGGATAGGCGTGTAGCATACCATCAGGCGCACAACTTATTCGTGCCGTCACTTGATATTATAAAAAAAAGAATAGATGCAAATTTTTGTAACAAATTTGTACATAGCCTAATCAACTGTATCTCAATTATGTAACATATAAACTAGATAGGTAGGACACTGTAACTGTTCGCGAGACCGACCGAGAATTTTCTGAAAGGCTGAAGGCTTTGAGTGTGTATTGTGATAGAAAATTTACAAAATTACATGCTATGGATACATAAATTCACTTATTGGTCCAGGCTAAATAAAATAAATCAGTCCGCAGAGCACTATGGGTATTTATTTATTGTATATGTTTATGCCCACATAGGCATTCACAGAAACTTCGACATAGGGAACTACTTATAATAGAAACTAAGGAGAAAAGACGCGCGTGAGACTACCGCACAAAATGGCTGACTTTTGACCATATTATCGTAATTGGTCATGCACAAGGTCATATTTCGGCAAAACGGGGTCGATGGCGAGAAGCGCCATCTAAATTCGAAAAGCCTAATTGTTTATGTCTTGGGTGGCCGTCGCGATATCGGACCGGATGCTTGCGAGTACGCTTCGAGCACAATAGACGAGATTGAGACGCTATAACTTGAAATAGGTCTAGACCCACAAATTGTTTACTTACTAGTTTGAATAATCTTCCGGCAAAAGAAATCCTTGGATATGTCAATGTTGTTTTTTGCCAAACTTAATGGCCCCATAGCGCAGTTTACAATTGGAACAATGGCATTCATCTTGTGCAAATTCATGTCTAGACACGCCGAGTTGTTCGCGCTAACGCAATGGAAGCACTTTATCGCAGCGCCTGTTGAAATTGTTATAGCAATTACAATTTTAATAAAAAATATAATCATCAATGTAACAGGAACGGCTGCTTGACAATAATGAATTCTTGTCTTGTGTGTAATTATTTAAAAAGCAACTATACTTACCTTTTTCGAATAAAACTAACAGTAGAACAAACAGCAAATGCATTTTATTAGGTATAACAGCTAACCTAACTAGCTAACTAATCACCGAATTTTCTAAAAATTCACTAACGCCTAACTTTGTTTTTGTTTTATTTACGGTGTATTAACGTAACAAAAATTCCAGGCGTTATCTTACTTCAAAACCCACAGTCCTATTGGATTGTTATTTTTTTTATGCAAAAACCAATTAGATTTAAGTTCGATTCGTTATACTTGAGCTAAAGTCGTATGTGAACTGTCTGGATGTCAGTTGAATGATGTATGGGCTGAGGCGTTCCTTTGTATTGAATTTGAAAGGATATAAATTAAGAAACTACTTACTTATAGAAAGGCAATACAGAAAATTGAAAGGAATCTTTAACAAAGCTTAACTCGTGAGACGGCGCTGTGGGAAGGGGACAATACTGCAATAAACCGATGTCAGACAAACCAGTCCCATGCAGCCGTTTAAATAATAATCTAGGTGCAAGTAATATATCTACAGCTATCATGAACTATCATCTATGGTAAAGTAGAGCGTCCAGGATGCTTGGATTTGTATTGAGAAATGGTAAAATGTGTCGTAGCGTTCGGTTGAATATGGAAATATACGCACCCTTAGTAATATAAGGGCACAATCCAAAAAAAGTAGATTTTTGGGAAATCGCGTATTAAGATTCTGGATTCCTACATTACACCTATTTTTTCAAATAACATGCTTATTATTTAAGTTATAAATATGAAATTTGGCAGATTTGTTCTTTGATAAATGTATTATAAATAGCAATAAAAAAAATAAATAATATAAATAAATTCTATAAGTTTCTAGCAAGTTAAAAAAACACTTTCAAGTTAGACCCATATAGTACAAAAAATATAACAGAAATATGGAGCTATTTAAGTTTGATCCCATTTATTATTTAAGTCCCTATCAATTCCCAAATTTCCCAAAAATCTACTTTTTTGGATTGTGCCCTTATATTACTAAGGGTGCGAATATACACATATTTTTACTCTTCTGGTCTTTCTAAAAAACTTAAATCATATGACAGGAGAATTGCACTTTAAAATTACGCCCCTTTCGGAGCGAGCGCAGAGAACTATTAGGTATGGTTTTTAACCGACTTAAAAAAGGAGGAGGTTCTAAATTCGACTGTATGTTTTTTGTATGTATGTTACGCGATAGCTCTGGCATTCGTGAACCAATTTTGATGATTCTTTTTTTGTTGGAAAGAGGGTAATTCGGATGTGGTCCCATTTAAAAAAAGAAAACATTCCACCTCTAAGGGTGGCAAACTAGGGGATCAATGACTTTTGAGGTCGGTTTTTTAGTACTCTGTACTGATTCAAAGTTCCTTTCTAAAACTATTCACAATAAGGTTGACTGTCCCCAACTGCTTGGTAATTTAAATTTTAAGATTCGCGTCAGATTCCCGAGATTTCACATAAGGTTTTTTCACCCACCTCGTCGTAGAACAGTATTAGGTTGCAATTCCCCATAGCTCGTATGTCCTTTGTATAATAATTGCCCCAAACACGCGGATATTTTCGTTGATTCACTGCTAGGTTTCAGAAACAAAATTCTTGTTTTTATTGATTTGGGCAATTTATCAATTTTTCATTTAGTGTCTGAATCGTGTTATGTACTTTACTTATAAAAAAATATTCGTAAGTTATTTCTTTTTTAGTATTAACATTTTTTTTGGTACTTTTTGACCTACCAACCAACCTATAATCAGTTCCTCAATTAGACTAAGTTTTTGATATGTATTAACACATGAAATATTGTAGTACTGTTGGCGTACCTAATAAATAAACACAAGTAGTGAGATTCTTCCTCGTTCACGCTGACCACACCACTAGTAGCCGCCATGCTGAACTGTGCACAGAACATGTTTGCTATCATGGCGAAAGGACTACGTAAGGTGTACGCCGAATGATGCTCAGATTTCGCCAGACGTACTGACGATACGGTTCATGCGTCATTGCAAAGAAGTTCCTGCAGAGTACGCCATTGAACAGCAAAAGCTGTGAAAGACAAAATCAATTATCAAAACGAAATTTATTTATTTATTTTACATACACAAGCTAGCAACTATCATTACCGGACTGACCTAAAGCAATAGTGTAGACAAAATTATCACTTGTTCAATATTATCAACTTCATTAATATTATATTCAAAATTATATTATGTCTACTAAATTACATTATGCCATATTATATTACAAACTGTTATTATATTTCATAACATATTACAAATACAGCTGTTTTATTGAACTCGCACAGAGAAGAGGCAAATAGGTAAATTTTCCAGTCAATGACATTCAAATTATATCGAAATAGTGAGTATAATAATGTATTTAGTACTGTAGTCTAGGCTCTACTCTATGAGTAGAATCACTGGCTGAGTGAATATAGTTTTGTATATAAAATGTGTTTGAAAAAATGACATAGAAAGAATAGAAATAATAATAACCTGAGTTAGAAAATATGTGAAAAAATACAATAAACCAAGTTTTGAAGATTATCCCAGTTTATATTCATAAAGTACCTCTCGCTATGCATCCTAAGCTACACCTCAGTTTACAGTACTTACTCACAGAACGGTATGGTGCCCCTTAGTCTACGGAGAGACGTTGGCTCTCTGTGTGTGTTCTACCGTCTTTATAATGGGAAGTGCCCAGAGGAACTTTCTGGCCAAGCGAGTAGAGCCCATCTCCACATCTTAGATGCCTGGCATCTCGTTCGTTCCTTCCTCGAACCTGCAAGACGTGGAATGATGTTCCTCCTGAAGTATTCCTTTGAGCTGTGACATGGGGTTTCTTCAAAAAAGCGTGTCAACAGGGTTCTCAACGGCTGGCAACACAGAGACACCTATTCTGATGTTGCAGATGTCCATCGGCGACGATGACCACCTCCCATCAAGGGGCGCGTTTGCTCGTTTGCCTCCTTTACATTAAAAAATATCGTTTTGCATTCGCTATGTATCGTGCCACTTGTATTTGTTACATCGGATCCACTGAAAATCAGCGTAGCATGTTCAGTAGGACAACAATAAGCTGTGTGGATGACGTAACAGCACGACGTTCTATACGTCTGGCGCACACCCTGGACCACAATCGGCGAGTATCGTACGTAGATTGGAAAAACCACTAAAGTCAAAATCAAAGAATTATTTACTTAATAGGTAAAATCATAGACTTGAAAACGTCATATTTAAACTAATGGTCGTTCGCTACGCTGACTTCCCTGAGAAGAACGAGCAAGAAACTCTAGGGATTGCTCTTTTCAAATAAACTCAAAATGCTATGGAATACACTTTGAATCAAATTTGTGTGGAATCTAGAGCCATGTCGTCTTTCCATACATCTTTATCTAACACGTACTCTTCAATTTTGTATTATAAATTATTTTTATCACATGAAACACGTGGCTTTACTGTATCCAGGTGACGACTTAGTATTATGACTATGGTGTAATCCTAGCACGGTTCACTAGTTAAGGTCAACCCATGAGCGTAACTACAGTGAAACCAAGATCAATGCATCCGACGCGGTCACACTTTGATGGTTTATTGGTTTACTTTCTAGCTGTCTATAGTTATGGAAATAGCTGAGAAAGGGCAGAGTATACAGTTAGACTGCGAGGTCGTGTTGTTGTTGCAACTTGGGTTGGACAGCTAATTATGACTTTGAGTATATAACCAGAAATAGAGACGTAATAAGGGCCATCCATCGCTGGCAAATCATTAGGCAAATACACCTTATGCCACTTTTAAATATCAACTCTCGTTTGCACTGAAATTACAAATTAGAAAGGTGAAATAGTACAGCGCCAACAACTGACCTGTGTGTATGTCTCCGTATATTCCAAAAAATATTCTGTATTTATTGTAATAAAGATAATATCTCTAACAATGTCGTGCTGTTCTATTCGGTGGTGTGGGAAAAACTGCAAAACATCTAATCACAAAGCAAACGGAATCAAATTTCATCGGTAATTATATATTAAATATGTAATTTTTCAATTTTCGTCCATTTTAGTAAAGCTCTAGTTAAACTGGTCGAATTGAAGTGAAACAGTTGACGACACCCGTCAATTGTTTCGAATTCGAGCTGTTGTTGTCGCCGTAATGATATGGCAGAATAGTTTTCAAACAAATTTAATGACATTTCGTCTCTATTTCTGGTTATTTACTCGATGATTCGCACCCTTAGTGTAATTTGGCCATATCTGCAAAAATACCACTATCAGGTTTAAAGATTCTAACAACGAAATTAGTCTACATAACTTTTAAATACATGCTTACGAGCTAACGTAAGGGAGAGCGGCGGGCGACTGATGCTCGGAACTAAAGAATGCCCGTACAAAACAAAACGTGTTACTGATTATTATAAGTACAGTCATCATAAATATACTGTTATATGTCTTCGACCTCTACTTTTTTATGATATCACGGGACGGACGGGACGAACAAGTCGTACGCCTGATGGGAAACTACACGCCTATTCATAGCAATACCAGTTGCACTCAAATATAAGTACATCTTTACTGCATCTAAAAATATACTGCATGTAAAAATATACATAATTTCAATAAGAAAGAAGATATCCATAATATTAACCTTAGAGCTAAGTCTAAATTCATGGTGCCAAGATTTCGTTTAACCAAGGTAAACAACTCTTTTATGCGGAACTGTATACGTTTTTTCAATAAGATTCCGGAGCATATATTAAGTTTATCATTTCCTAAGTTTAAAAACTACATTAAAAATATTTTGATCGAAAAATCATATTACAAAATTGAAGGCTACGTGTTAGATAAAGATGTATGGAAAGACAACATGGCTCCAGAATCCACACAAATTTGATTCAAAGTGTATTCCATAGCATTTAAGTTTATTTCAAAAGAGCAATCCCTAGAGTTTCTTGCTCGTTCTTCTCAGGGAGGTCAGCGTAGTGAACGAGCAGTAGCTTAAATGTGACGTTTTCAAGTGTAAATTTATTTTACCTATGGAATAAATAATCTTTGACTTTGACTTTGACTTTGCATGTATCTACATGAAAAATCTTTTTATTCTCTTTAGTATTGTAATAAGTTATTATTTTGAATGACTTTCTGACATTTCTTAAATCATCAATCA